CATAGTCAGCACTAACTAAACTCCAGCTAATGTTATGACCTTGGAGACCAGCCGGAATTGCTCTGGAACACTGACTCTAACAATTCCTAGCTGGATGAGCTGGGAGAAGTCACTTCACTTCTCTGCACCATAACTTTCTCACCTGTAAAATGGGACTAATATGGCACACATGTTCCAGGGTTGTTATGAAGATTAACTGAGTTCTTAACTGCAAAGTACTTGGATGGTGGTGGCAGACAGAAAGGGTTTACAATGACAGCACAGAGATCTCCCTAAGCTCAAGTCAGTTTGCAGGCACAGGCATACCTTGGAAATAGTTCAGGTTCAGGTTCAGATCACCAGAACAAAGCAAATATCACAGTAAAGTGAGTCACACAAATTTTTTGTTTTCCCAGTGCCCCATAAAGGTTACGGTTACATCATACTATAGTCTATTCAGTGTGCAATAACATATGTCTAATAAAAACAATGTACATACCTTAATTTTAAAATATTTTATTGCTAAAAGATGCTAACAACCATCTGAGCCTTCAGCAAGTCATAATCTTTTTGCTGGTAGAGGGTCTTGGCTCCATGTTGAGGGTCCTCTGCTGGACTAGACGTTAGCTTAAGGGAATGTTGTGGCTGGTCTGGTCTTCTATCCAGACTGCTAAAACCTTCTTTTTCTAAAACTGTTATATTAACAGTAAGGCTGTTCCACTTTCTTATAATTTGTGTGTTCACAAGTAGCACTTTTCATATCCTTCGGGAACTTTTCATTGGCCTTTACAACTTGGCAAGGGCCTAGCTTTGGGCCTATCTGTTTTCAACATGCCATCTTCACTAACCTTAAGCATTTCTAGCTTTTAATTTAAAATGAGTGATGTGGGACCCTTCCTCTCTATACGAACACTTAGAGGCACCCCAAAACAATTTCAACAGTAACATCAAAGATCACTGACATACCACGGTAATGGATATAATAACAATGATAAGGTTTGAAATATTGTGAGAATTACCAAAATGTGGCACAGAGACGTAAGACGAGCACATGTTGTTGGAAAACGGTGCTGGTGAACTCACTCAACACAGGGTGGTCACAAACCTTTTGTAAAAGAACACAATACTCGGGTGGCACCTGTGGCTCAAAGGAGTAGGGCGCTGGTCCCATATGCCAGAGATGGCAGGTTCAAACCCAGCCCCTGGCCAAAAACTGCTAAAAAAAAAAAAGAACACATTACTGCAAGGTACACTAAAGTGAAACATGGTAGAACAAGATGTCCATATTTAAGGAGTCTCCTTAGTGTGACTAGTAATTATTCCAACAGCTTTTTATAGAGCACTTACTATGCACAAGCACTGAACTCGATATTAGGAAGGGTTGAAAAAATTGTACAGAACACTTTTCTGACCCCCCAAAACACAAAGCCTAAAACAGAAAATATGACTGACGATGTCAGCTAATGTGGGATGAGACTGTGGCCAAGCGCCTGGGGCTAATAGATGGTAGAGAAATTCAGAGGCAGAGAGTCTGCTGTGGAAGCCGGGGAAGTGCAGAGAGTGGCGAGCCGGGGGCTAAGGCACTAAGCTGGACCTTCAAGAATAAGTGAGAATGAGAGAGCCAGAGAGTCAGGACAGAGAGCATGGTAGGCCATGTGGTCGTGTAGAGAAAACAAGGCTACAGAAGTGTGGCAGTCCCTCCAAGGACCATGGAGAGACCTGAGTGAAAGGAGGACAAAGGGAAAATACTTTGGAAAGGGAGGGAGCCTTCATGTTACGGTTTTGTATCAATGTCTGACCCGTGAGCAGAGGAGGATCAAGTGACTTATTAACAGTTTTAAACTTTAATGTTGGTAAAAATTGTTCATCAATTTTTTTTTAAGCAGCAATGCAAATGTATAGGTCCCACTGCACCCTTGGGAAATCAGAATCCCTGAAGTTGGGGTCCAGGCATATCTTTAATGAAACAAATTCTGCAGGCAATTCTGACAGAGACCAAAAATTGAAAATCACTACTATCAAGTCTAGATTACCATGACTGTCTTGTATGGCAGCAGGGTCAGAAGAGAGGAAACTAGAATTTGAGTGCCCACCTGAGCCAGGTGAGTTACGCGTATTATTTTATTTAGATTTGATAACACCCCTATGACAAGAACGTCACCATTTTCATTTTAGAGGTGTAAAAACGGAGACTTACAGATGTTGAGAGTGCAGTAAGTCACAGCCCAGGCTCCAAGACCACTGGCTTTCCTCCAGTACCACATGACCTCCCCATAAACACCTGTGTGCATTTTCCCCCTGAAACTTACTGCAGTTCAAGTTAAGTAGCAGATGTGGTATCACAAAACCTCTCCTGCCATCCTCCTCTCTCTTCTCTAGTGATGACTAAATTTTACCTTCCTTTTGCCCTGACATTGAGCTGAAACCCCTGAGGGCTATAATTTCACCCTAGGTTGTTTGGGTTTTTTTTCCAAAACATTAAGGGAGTACAAAGTTTTTGTTACCTGGATACCTTGTATAATATGTAAGTTAGCCCTGTCAGTGTGCCCATACCAGTGTTCATTGTATCTGATAGGTAAGTTTCCCTCCCCCACCCCCGTCCGTCTCCCTTCCTGGTTTCTAATGTCCTTTACATCTCCTGTGTTCCTGTGTGTCCTTGATTATCGCCCAGTTATTAGAGAGTACAGATGATGTTTGTTTTTTCATTCCTTAGATACTTTGCATAGAACAGTTCTCCAATTCTATTTAAGTTGCTGCAAAAGTCAACATTTCATTCCTTTTTCTGGCTAATACTCCATGGTGTGTGTGTGTGTACCCACATTTTTTAAATCCATTCATGGGCTCTTAGGCTGATTCCACATCTTTGCAGTTGTGGATTGCACTGCAGTAAACATTTGAGTATTTGAGTGGCATCTTTTTGATAGATGACTTATTTTGACCCCGTAGTACGATTGCTGGAACAATTGGTAGGTCTACATTTATTTCTTTGTGGAATCTCCATACAGTTCTCCATAGAGGCTGTACTCAACTGTACCCACCAACACTATATAAGCATTCCTTTCTCTCTGCATCTATGCCAGCTTCCATTGTTTTTTGAAGTTTTAACAATAAGAATTTTGATACAGTTTTCATTTCCCTGATTAGTGATGTTTACTTTCTTAAACAGGCTAAGTTAACTTTCTCATAACTCTTTCTCTTTCTTCTACCACCTTTTCTATGATGTCTTCTAACACACCCTACAGCTTTGAAACCCCTTATTCCAAGCAGAACACAAAATGAAATCTGAAATATTAAGTAATTATGTTAGTGATTTTCTTCTTACTCTATGGCTGGTGAGAACTCTGATTAGCAGACTTAGCACAAAATGCAAGGGAAATGATGTTGATAGTCTGATTAGCTTACTACCAACAAGCAATGAAAACCTGTTATTTTAATCTAAGTGAGTTCCTCATTTTGCTTTTGAAAGTCATTCTCTGTGGGTAGAATTGTAGCCACTGTATGTGTGTCTGTGTCTGTGGGTGTCGACAAGAGAAACCTAACATCCTTCTTAAATCAGCACTAAATCTCCACTTATGTGTGAGATTCTTACCCGATGTGCCTGCCTCTCTTTTTTTCTCAGGTTGCACTCTTTATTTCTCTTATTGTCAATTGTGTGACATTTCCCTCCTTTATATATGCCTTCTTCTATTCTCCAGGATGGATTATTTCACAATTTTCCCCCTCACTGCAGACTGGAAGCTTGAGTAAATGTTGTCTACCCTTTCTTTCCAGCTTCAAATGCAACTGACAGTTTGTACATACCTTGATTCATGTCACTGAGGGTAATGTTTGTCACTCTGGGGCTCAGGGCCACGTGGCTTAGCCTATTTCTATGCTTGATGGGGCCTAAGCTTGAGTTCTAAGCCAAAGAAGAAGGTTCAGACATCTGTATCTATTCTCTAAATGTCTGCTTTGGCAGTGACACCTTCATTCCAGCAAGAAGAATTGATTGCCCACGTTAGGAAGCCTTATTGATGCTTTGAATACTTGTCAGCCCACTGTGAACAGAAGTGCAAATCATGTAATGGGAGACCCAGAAGACAACAGTCACCTAGACTACAACACGAACAGTGCCCTCTGGACTTAACCAGTGAACATTCTGCTCAACCACACATAGTAGCCTTTCAGTAGGAAAATTATTTCCCCCTAACATAAATAGTTTTCTGTATCCTTAATGAATTTTTTGCTTGCCTGAAGATTATAATCAGGTCTCATAAATTGAAAATCAGTGAACATGGGCTGTATATAGTATATATATGTATACACATACATATTTTTAAGCCTTATTTTTACTTTTCCTATGTTTTTATTATTCTCTAGTATAAATAGACTTTGCTTTTAAAGAAATCAAGTTATTCAGATGACTTGAGAGTCAAAAGATGGTTTTATCCTCTGTAAATGAAATTGACTTACAGAAAAAGAAAGTCCTTCATCGTGAGCAAAACAGAATCAGGACACTAAAAAGGCATTAAACACAGTTTTATTTATTTCAAAACATAAGGTTAACTCAATATTAATAAATATTTTTTAACACTGACTGTAGAAAAACTATTGTGCAGGTTCCATAAAGACAACCTTATAAAGAATCAGAGAAAAAGATAGCTCCTTTACCTCTAGGCCATTGATAGAACAATCTGGGAGCAGGAATAGCCTCAGAAATGTTGCAGGGAATTGAAGAAAGACAAGAGAAGAGTTGGTAAAATTGGGAAAGTTTTTCTACTCTCCTTTCCTTACTGGGGCCTTAAAATTTAAAATCTGGAGTTGGAAAGATACACCTTCACACACATATGCGGTTCTATCTGTGCCTTCTTTCTCAATTTTGAAGAAGAATTACTAGTCAGTGGCCAGGGTCAAAACAAGCACCTGTAGTTCTAGCTACTCAGGAGGCGGAGGCAAGAGGATCTCTTGAGCCCAAGAGTTTGAGGTTCTTGTGAGCTATGACACCACGGCACTCTACTGAGCACAATAAAGTGAGAAACTGTCCCCCCTCAAAAAATAAAATTGTAAACAAATTCCCAGTTTCAACCTAGGTCCCTTATAACCTAAGCAGGAGCTGCTACTGCCTATGCTTAAAGCTTGGGCACAACCACCAACTCATAAGCTGGAGAGCTGAAGGTGCCAGTGCCAGAAGCTCTGTGCAGATCTGAGTCCTTTCAGCGCTATCTCTGGATGAGCTGGGCCTACACCCTCTACAACTGGGGTTGGGGTACACATCAGCCAGGGAGCTGCCCAGGTCCCCACCCATGGAGGGAACCTCTGTTCACAATTTTTCTGTAAATCTCAAATAAAACAGATCCTCATAGATTTAGGGTCTCCTCTCCTGATTATAATGAAGAGTAGCGAAATGTTTTAGAAAGGAACAAAGGGAGACCCCTCTCAGATCAGCTTGAGTCAGAGTACAGATTCCTGCTCTGGGAGGCTTGGGGGCATAGAAAAGACCCTCAACTACTCTTGGCTTTCTCGGGTCTTTTTCCCAGAAGGCATAACCCTGAAAGCCACCACTGCTCTCAGGAAGTTTCTGAGTAGGATGAGGAAGATCAGGGTATGCCTTCATTTTGTTACATGATCTCAAGGCCAAAGGCAAGCAGAAGACAGCTAAAGAGAACAAACAAGTTTGCAGCGAGTACAATAGTTTCAAAGGGAAGAACTGTCTCAGGTTCTGGCTCATTTGAAGACAGCTAAAGGCCAAGGCTTAGCCAATGAGGCAGCAGAATAGCTACAGCTTTCACTTTTCTTGAGTATTAGAATTAGACTTAGAACGGGGTATTTTTTTAAGCTAAGGAGGGCCTCAGGGATTTCCTAGTTTAATTCCTTCATTTTCCATTTCCTGCAGAGGGTAAGCAGCCTACAGGGGCCACGCAACTTGTTCTATCTGCTTGGAGGCTGCAGGGAGGGCCGGGGAGGCTGCAGTGAGCAACGTGTGCAGGGGGCCTTGTGCTGTGTGTTTAATGACAGGCAGAATCTGGTGCAGAGGAAAACTTCCCACCCTGGGCCCTTCCTGTTGACTTGTCACAGACACAGGCAGGTTGTGGACTGAGCTTATCCATGGACTTCCCTCAGGAGGAGCTGCGGGATGTAGGTGTGCCTTCACTTCCCAGTCCGGGAGGCCACCTGGATGGCTTTGATCCACTCTGTGCGCTCCTTGGGGGTGGCTGCTTGCAAGAAGTAATGCACTTCATCTGCCGTGATAATCTCAAACAGGTTCTCCTCCTCACTCTTCCTGCCTGGGAAAGAGAAAGGGAAGGAAGGGCAGCATGCTCAGACAGGCCACGTGGTCCGCCCTCCTCTGCAAGTCAGAAAATCTGTTCCTTAGTGTTCTAAGGAAATGAAATATGTGATTTTCAAACATATATTGTTTGATTATAGAATAATTTACTACAGAATTATATATAATATTCATGTAGATAGATATATAGTATGAAGGTGTGTGTGTATATGTGTCTATTTTTACGAAATACATGAAACGCTCAAGGAGAAACATTTTCTTTTATAGTTTATAAGCAAACTAAATTCCTCATCTTTGCATATGAACAGTATTTAAAGAGTAATCTTTAATAGTGTCTAATGAATACCTTTCCTCTGTTCATAACACAAGCCAGGGCTGACCTAGAAATCTACCTATCTAGCTATCTATTATCTATCTATCTGTATACAGAAGATCAGGCCATTAAGTTTGCAAACTCATCCTGGAAAACAGTGCTACATAGCTCTTTGTTGAATATCACCACCGTCACCTGATGGCTGAGGGGAGTACTTCAAAGGTGACCATAGTGATATTCAGCAATGAGGTATGTAGCACTTAGTCTAGGATGAGTTCATGAACTTAATTGTCAGACTTCATATACATATACAAAACCAAACCTACTACCGGCACCATGAGTACAGCCTGAACTGGTGCCTGTCAAGGTCTAAGTTACAGCTTCTGCTGACAGATCAAAAGGCAATGTAGTGGCCAACACTGGGACAAGACCTAAAACATCATAAATCAAATAAAAAAACAACATGTGCCCTACCCCAAAACTAAAGCATAATTCTTGGGGGAAAGGGGGAGGCAGTTGCATCTTTACCATACCATAAAGATCTAGATTTTGCAATTATGGTATTTTCCCATCTACTTGATCATATCACAAACCCAAGATGGCAAGAGTTTGGGATGTGAAAACCACGTCACCCTAGAGATAACATTTCTTTCCAGCTACTAAGAAGTCAGTTTACACCCACACGGTTATTCCATGCACCAAGTCATAGACTTGTGATCTGAGGTCATCTAGTGCAACCGCCTCATTTTTACAGGAGGAACTAAGATCCAAAGTAGTTAGGTGACTCACGGAAGGGCCTGAGGATAACTGCCCAGCACATACCTGACTGCAACTCTGGTGCTCTTTCCTCTTATATCACTGTCTCAGGTACAAAATCTGCTTTGGTTGTGGGATAGTCTTGGGTCTACATATGTGAAAGACTTGCAGTAAGCAACAGCATGTGAATTACAGGTGTCAAGAGCTGACAACTGTCCATCTAAGCCAGTCCTGAAGACATGGACTTTTCTCAGTGCCTCTCATGGACTTAAGGCACCTACAAAGCCACTCTAACTCCCTAAGGCCTGGACAGCCCAGGCAGTAGTTGGGAGAGAATAAACAGCTCTTGGTCTCTCCAATGTTTTCAGACAATAAATCCATTCAGGATTCTTCTGATTGATGGACAGGAGTATTAGAAATAAATTCAGGCATATTTACATAATAGAATGAGACATGGAGGTGTGAATAAATGAATGCATGGACAGCTAGAGGCCTCAACATGCTGCATGTGATGTCCTGGCTTTAAGAATATAATACTGAGGGTGGCACCTGTGGCTCAAAGGAGTAGGGCACTGGCCCCATATGCTGGAGGTGGTGGGTTCAAACCCAGCCCCAGCCAAAAACTGCAAAAAAAAAAAGAATATAATATTGAGCAATAAAACCAGGAAGAAAAAGTCATAAAAGAAGACTGTATGTTTTCAATTCTTATGTAATTCTCTGAACTCTCTGAGGTTATTCTTTATGAGACTGTTCAAGTACAGGAAGGGAATCTGAACAGACACACCCCTCTCATATAGGAACTCATCTTACCATCAGAGTTGCTCTCCACTGACGTCACCACACAGCCTCTCAAGTGAATTGCTCCCAGGGGGTCTTCCCCCTAAAAGAAAGAGACGTTGTTCATTATGTTTGCAAAATAGAGTGTATGGATGTACCTTTTCTTGTTGGTGTGAATAGTCATACAAACTTACTCTGTTATAGCTCAGGGTCCCCCCAACAATAAGAACAGAAGGAGATTAAAGAAAACTTCTTGGAGACCTAAAGTCCTTCCATACCCCCACACTCCACTTTGGTGGAGTCAGGAGGCTGGATGAGAAGATGCAAGTCAATCTGGACTTCCATCTGGAGGAAAATGGAGGGGAGATGGAAAAGCTCATGTCTCCTCCTAAGAAAGATCTAGGTGTTTCCAAAGCTTCATGGCCCCATGAGCCTGCCACAGTAGTGTAACTTTCACCTGAGGGATCAAAGGGCCTTGAGATGCAAGCAGAGGCTGGGGACCCAACCTAGGTAGAGCTGTCTTTATGCTTTGGAAGTGGCCCATTTTTTTGAGAAAGAAGTCCCACTTCCTAGACCTAAACAGTGCTCTCATCCAAGTTGACCAGCATGAGGAATTACCAAAGTTTTTCATACTGAACCATGAGTAGAACATTGGACTTCTTGAATTCCCCCTGAAAATATCAGTTTGGGGTAAATAAAAAATTATGTTGAGTTGACCAAATAAATTATATAGTGATTTTTTTTTTCCATCCCTGAGCTCAGGCTGGCCTCAAACACCCAAGATCTCAGACTTCTGCAGCAAAAGAAGGTAGGAAATAGTGAAGGGGAATGTGAGAGAAAACAGTGGGGTGGTGAAGAGAAAAAGGGGGTATCAGCAGAGGAGAAAGTGGAATGGGAAGCCTAGCTCATGAATGCAGTGGAGGAATGGATTAATGACCACAAAATCTCACCCCTGCAGGGTCGTAGTAGTGCAGGTAGGCGGGGTCTTCTCTCAGAATGAACTTCCTCACTTTCCAGTTTTTCCTCCTATGCCCCTGTATCCAGGATAACATCAAAAAAGAAGTGGTGAGTTCCTAGCATCACTCTATACACACAGTACCTGTGTAGCAAGTCTTTACTGAGTTGAAAAGAAAAGGAAAAGATGAAATACTAAATCCAGCCCAGATTTTTTTCAGGGAGACAGCACCAAGGCCAAGTAATAATTTGGATATGATTATATTAGAAGAATGGCTTACGTTATTTCTAATTATTGTCTTCCAGCTTTGATATGACATAAGATAGTACTATACATTATGTTAGGAAACACAGGGGACATAAAGAGGCTTAAGATGCGGCCCTGCTCTTCAGGGAATGTATGACCTATGTGGAAATATGAAATAGCATATGTCCAAGTCACACCACTGGGATAGACCATGGGTTTCAAAGACATTAAATGAGAGATGTGTAATTGTGGGCTTTGGATGTCAAAGAAACCCTCATAAAGACCTGCCAGACTGACCTCTGTGGGCCACACAGGATTTAGGTGGGTGGGAAGACAGTTGCCACACAAAAGCAGAAGTGAGCATGCACACGGCATGTTCCGGCACTGAGGAATGAGACCAGTCCGCTTACAACAGAGGGCTCACGAGGAAGAGCAGAGGCAGGGTTGGAACAGTGGACAGGGACTTGGTGAAAATAAAAGATAGGGGCCGTGGCTCATGGTTTTTGAGTAGGAAGTGAAAAGATTCCATTTTAGGAAGATAAGTCAGAGCTACTACATACTAGGATGGACCAGCCAGTTAGATGAAAGGAAAGCCAGGGAAAGAAAACAAAGTCAAAAAGGAGACTGTGAGGGAACAACCACAACCATCCCGGCATAAAATTACTAGGAATTAAACTTTAGGTAGCGGAGTGGAAATGGAAACGAATGTGGCTGTAACAGACATGATGAAAAAAGAACAGGACTTGACCTTTCCCCATAGAATTAAACCTGGCAAACAGGGAGTTTCTAAGGCAGGATTTATGTCTTGCCCATCTTCATTGCCCAGTGCCCAGGACAGAGCCTGGCACGTGAAAGCTGCTTTGTATGTTTGTAATTGCCATGAATTACCCAGTTATTTCAATTAGCTTATCACAGATTTTAAAATTTCATGGTAAACCTCGTTCTGTGATTTCCCAAAAAAAGTTCACATGACTTAACTCCAGAAGCTAAAATAAATATTAGATTAGATGATAGTTTCTGTCTCACTAATATAAAGAATACTATTTATAATTTCTAAAGAGCCACAGATTGACAAGTTTGCTTATAAATTTTCTAATAGTCTTCATGGCACTTGTGTTAAAAGTAACAAAATGTGTGGTTTTAGCAAACGTACCTTCTTCATAAAGCCAGGCCAGAGGAGTTAAAAGGAAATTTCAGGAATGGGTCTAAGTTTTTTTGGCTAAACATTTGGTGAAGAAATTCATTTCAAAAGAAGCTTTTATTTGCCTGGAGGGTGGAGCCAGGAACCCTACACAGTCTTATGCCAGGAGAGACAATATTTCTCCCCGCTATGTCATTCGAGGTTGGCTTTGCAAATCATAGACTTACTAAAAGTATGAATTCTTACACTTGGCCTTAACTGACACTGTCCGTAAGATTAAGGATGCTAAAGTTGCAACCCTGCCCCACTTCCCCTTCATAGATAGACACACATATCATGCTCTCTCATGCAATTGCTGGATGATTACCAAGTTGTCATGAGTCAATGGAAGAGAAGGTAACAGGAGGATGTGAAATCAGCCCATCTTGACCAACCATCATATTCTCTGTAAGCCCTCATTGGCATCACAAGGTGTGTGTTGAAGACTTTGACATTAGTAAATAGATTTCTGGCCATCTTTCATTTCTTGAGTATTTCCTGAGGAGTTTCAAGAAATGCATGCATGCCTGTCATTTCCAAGAATTGTTGCTGCACTGTCTAAGTCATCTACTTCTACTTAACTTAATTCACTCTACAAGGGTTTTTTGCCTCTTACGTACCAAGAAGGATGCTGAACTCTGCAGCAGATGCAAGAAGATCACATACAACACATTGTCCCTCTCCCTCAGATAATCTACATGGAAATGTTAAGCAGGGAGACATTTTATTCATTGTCACAACAGAAGGAATTATGTAAAAAGGAATGATGTTGAATATAATCCAAGATCATTCATCCTCCAACTTGCTACATTTGCCAGTTAGAATCATTTCCTCTGGGATGAGAGAAGTGGAAAATAAGGAATGGACAGGCTCCAGTTGGACACAGCTACTTCCCATCTGTGAGGTGTGGAGACAGGTGTCCTTTTTTATGCTAATAAGGCTTCTATGGAGGTTAACCCTGGCTCACTCCCAGCAGTGGACACAAGGTTGGTGTACTTTCTGGTTAAGTTTAACAATTTTGTAAATGTTGCCTCTAGTGATTCTGATATGAACCAGGGTTACACTGACCACTCAGCTAAGAGATTGGAAACGTTAAAGGGAATGAAGGGAATGCCAATTCAAATGGAAGAGGTTTTTCTCATCACCTTCTGCTAAAACATAAAATTAAAGAACATTCTAAAAGGACAAAACACATGAATGCATGTAGATTTCTGAATTCTTTTTTTTTTTTTTTCTTCAGTTTTTGGCCGGGGTTGGGTTTGAACCCGGGCCCTCTGGTATATGGGGCTGCATCCTGTGCCTTTGAGGCACAGGCGCCACCCATAGATTTCTGAATTCTTCCCATAAAAAAGAAGCTTCTAAGGCAGGCGTCCTCAAACTACGGCCCCGAGGACCACATGCAGCCCGCCTAGGACGTTTATCTGGCCCACTCGGTGTTTTTGCTGCGGCTGCCTATCCTGCTTAGTAGCCGACTTGTCCCGGGGCCCACGGTCCAGCCCTCCAATGGTCTGAGGGACAGTGAACTGGCCTCCAGTTTAAAAAGTTTGAGGACCCTTGTTCTAAGGACTACCGAAATTGTTGTATTTTGATAATAAGGTAGATTGGCTTTTCAGAAAATGACTAGCTCAAGTTCTCAGTGATTCTCACATCAGAATCACTTGGGAGCTATAAAAATTTAGACTCTGATTTAATAGCCAGGGAATGCAATTTTAACATTTCCCCGGGAGAGTCAGAAGTGCACCAACTGGGCTAGCTAAAACTAAATTGTGCCTATCGAAGGTCATGTAAAGGAGGGCAGAGGAAGGCACACAGGAAGTCTGTTTCCTGTCCCTATTATCTTCAAAACACTCTTGGGCACCCATTACTCACAGCCACTTTTTGACCGTACAAGGTCTCCAACTGGGGTGCTTTGCTCAGACATGACTCCGGACCAGTCCAAATATCTACACTTTATAAAACCTCATGCTCAGTTTTCAAAGAGTCCCACTCCAGATTAGGGCTTATCCAATTAACTAATTCAAGAAATAGCTGGTAACAATATAGACGTATGGAAGGAATCAACAAAATAAGGAAATTGCCTCCCAAGTTACTCTTGTCCCAACAGCCGCCTTCCAACACCTACAGTCAAAGAGCAAGGAACATAGGACTGTTTGGCAGAACCAATGGGAAGCCGGCAGTGGGCAAACTCTGCCCATGGACAACTGCCAGAGCCTTCCCTATACAAGGCTGGCCTGCCGCAGGCCTTTCCTTCAATCTAGTTAGCTGGTCACTCCATCATAGTTCATGAATTCTTTCTAAATCCTTGCTGTATTTAGAAAGGTAGACTGTTCTCTTCAAACCTGTTGTGAAGGTAAATTTCCCATTCTAACGAAGTCATATGACAGTGAAACTAAAAATCCACGTTGGGCTACTCCCAACTAGTCTGAAGTCTCTCTGTGTAAATGTAAATATATGCTCTGATCTGGGTTTTCCCTCCTTGCCCATCTCATTAATCACTAATATGGAACTTAATAGGCCCAAATATAAAGTTGAATCTCTCAGTTCCATGGGACCTATAGACAGTGCGTTCATGGAAATCTCCTTCCAGCAAATGGTTCTTACCACAATTTACCAAGCAGTGCTTTTAAGGCAGCTCACAGCACAGCCAGGAAGTCAAGACCTTGGCCCTGTAAAGCGGCCTTGGCCTCTATGTCACCATGTGTTAGTATTAATTTGCTTCACCCTGAATATTCCCCGGTCTTCCTGCCACTTCTTCCTCTACCATGTGCTGGCCCTGGCTCACGCACTTGGCCCAGACAAGATATTCTCTTGCCTCCTGGCATTGCTGCTTGCCCTGGCACCTGGTAACTATAGAGCTCTTCAGTTTGTACTGACTCCTGCCTTCCAGAATGATGGTAGCCTGTACCCGAGGACACCTGCACTCCCCGCAGGACTCTGGCCACACCCCCAGTCTGGATTTGACCTTTGCCTGTTGTTCCTATGGAGCTGGCCTCAGGCATGCCCTGGTTGGGTGTCACCATGCCCTCCTTCCAGTCCAGAAAGGCACTGTTATCATGGTAGATGATGTTCCCTCTGGGTGTGGTCTATTCCTGTTTCCCTGCTTCCTCTGAAGGGAGGAGGAACAGCCAAAATGCAAGTACATTCACCATGAAACACCTCTATCTTTTGAATGGCATCTCTTAGATAATTTATCTCCTCTAGCTAATGAAAAGAACAAAATTTTTAATTTAATTTTTAATTAAATCATAACTGTATACATTTGTGGGGTACAATATGATGATTTGATTTACAATTTGGAATGCTTAAATCAAACCATCACCTCACTTACTTTTTGTGGTAAGACATTTATAATTTACTGTTAGTCATTTTGAAATACACCCTTGCATTGTGCACCTTAGGTGAGAGTCCCTCAAATGGACTTCCTCCTCCCACCAATCACCCTCCCCTTTCTGGAAACATCTTTTTGTCTTGTGACATTGATACAAGAGGTATCTCCCTACTTCTAGCGGCATCTTCTGCCCTGTCCACCTCAGTCTTCCTGACCTAATGCCACTTTGATCACCTACATACATCTATCTTTGACTTTGTAGCCTCGTTTTCTGCTTGACTACAGGCCAGACAAATGAAATGTCATTTGATAATTTAGAAATTAGAAGGACCTGGTAAGGGGGGAATGCTGGAAAGAGATAGTGGTGGCCACTCACCTGCTTCAGTAAACATCCCTGCTTGATAATGACCCCTCTGAATTCTTCCTTCAGAATCACGTCGTCATCACTGGAATTCTCTTCACAGAAGAACCCGCTGTCTGGCTATTGGGGAATCAAAGGGCAAGTTGGCCCTACCAGTAAGTGTACCATTGCCATCCCTACTTCCCTTCCCACCCACCACTGGGGTAGACACCTCCTTTTCTTTCCACTACTGTGTATATCCTAATCTGTACTTCAAAGGTTGTCCTTGGCTAGTTTCTCCTCTGCTTTCTTATCTCCACTCAGGTGTGACGGTATCAATGTCCTTTTATTCTGTAGGGTCTCCCAAGCTATATCCTAGTTTAGCTCCATCTTCCTCCCTGTACACATTTCTGCTTCAAAACCTTCCTTCTCTGGGGTGGTTGTGGGCACATCCTTGAAAGCAGTGTGGACTGATTTATGATTAGCAATAATATCTTCATCTCAACCTTTACCACTAAGCTTCTTCTCTGAGAAAACAGAGAGCAAGTGTCCAGCCTCAAGAGGGAACTGGAACTCACTCAGCGAGATTGGATGATGAATCAACAGAGGAAAAGGAGCTTCTGCGAAGGGTATTTTTAGAATCCTGCATTTAAATAGCTATAAACAACCAGACCTTGGGCAGGGTTGAGGGAGGCAGTGGGGGTGAACCAAATTAACAGAATTTCCCCAAAGTGAAATGAAACTCTCTCTGGGGCATTCACTTCAGTTTTGTAAGAAGGGTAGTTCTTTTAAGTACCTTCCTAATTTCTGTGCTCTGATCCAAGATAGAAACAAAATTGCCAAAATTCCCCTAGAAATCTTCTGTTGCTTGTTTTTCACCCGGCCCAAGATTAGCCTCACGTTACATAACATCCTATTTCCCAGTCCTGAGCAGGCATTCAGAGCAGGGGAGGCACACAACATGATTGCGGGAGGGGACATGGATGGACTCATTTTGAGTCCAGTATTTTAACATATATTTGGAAACATACAACTAGCTCGTCACCCCTGTAACTTTATGAATGCCCCTGTGGAAAGGAAGCTCCCTGAGGGCTGTGTTTTGCCTGTTTTCCCATCATCCCCTACTTCTCTATCTTTTTGTCTAAGAGAGTATCTGCCATGAACTAGGCCCTAACACATTTTTCAAAATGCTTAAAACAAGAAAATGTAATATAATAAAGTTTAAAAGGTCAGGGTAAAGAAAATTATTTAAGTAAGCAATCGTTTTCTTTTAACCAGTTGTCTTGGATCGAGAAAGAGCGTTGTAGAGGAGCAGCTATGGGTTCTGGGACACACAGTGTAATGGCAGCTCCAAATGGGCCTGGGAGCTTCAGGTATTTCCTGTTCTTGCTGGCTGACCTCGTTCCTTCCTCGTTCCTCGTGACCCCCCAAAACAGCACTCTGTAGGATTGGGCCATTATTTTTAATATATTTCTACTAACTGAAATCAACCTAGAATCTAAATCTCCCATTACAGGGAGAATAGATGCATTGCCTTCCTCACTTACAAAGTAGTAGAAGGCGTCAGGGTTGTCCAGGAAAGGGTTTTCAGCAGTCCCATCCAGTGCGTTCTTGGCCATGTCTCCAGCAGGCTGCAGATACCCCTCATTGAGCAGCGAGGAGGCAATCATGAGGCCTTCCTGACGATTCCGGACAGACTTGTTAGACACCAGCCAGTCGATGACACAGCTACCTGGATGGGACCAGAAGAGGGAGAGAGAACTCTCATTACTGAAGAAAAAGTCACAGGCAATCATCCCTGGACTTATTCTAGTGTCTGACTCGTCTTATCTCCCCTCTTAGGCCAAGAAAGAAGAAACGAAATTAGTGGGCTAGATAAAACAAAAGAAATGATGTAAAGAACTTCTTAAAACATCCACATGCTGCTTAAGAAGTAACATATGGATCAAAGAAATCGTTTTCATTAACTCACTCATTTCTTCCATTAAGGAACGAATGTTTGCTGAGCGCCTACTAGAGGCCATGTACTAGTAGGGATGTTGGGGCAGTTCCCTCAGGACACTATATAAGGGCAAGATGAGTGATAAATAAGTCTTATAGATTGGTGGGATCACCTCTATGGCTTATCTTACAAGGGTACAAGTGAATCTTTCTAAAAGCAGAGTATGAACGTTTTAACTCAGTAACTAGGAAAATGACATGAAGGTTATGTTGACCACTTTAATGATAGTATTTCAAAATGTATATGAAAACAGCATGCTGTACCCCATGATTGCATTAATGTACACAGTTATGCTATAAGAAATAAAAAATAAAAATAAAAATAAATAAGTCTTATAACAAGGGCCATGACACATGTTAGTCCTGTGGAACAACTGGGTCAAAACCAAGGGCATGAAAGGGGTCGAGGGGAGAGGCTCTGCACACACAGTCAGAAAAAAATTCATCAAGGAAGTGACACTGGGCAGAGGCTCCAAAAACGAGTGGGGATCTGCCACGCCTATGAGGCAGGGACTCCAAGGAACCAGCCCCAGCTGAGGGGGCAGCAGCGTGAACAGATGCATGCAGGCATGAAGCAGCCCCGCAGGGCAGGGGGAGTGGGCGGTGGAAAGAAGGCAAAAGAGAACAAGAGGAGGAGGAAGGTTCAGGGTGGGTGGGGAAAGCTGTGATGGCACAGTAAGAAATTTGGCAATGAGAAATTATCACAAGTTTTTAAAGTGGAAATAACATGATAGATGTGGTGTCCTAAGTTAAAACTTGATGACATCACCCACACTGATCGTCACACCTGTGCAGGATCTAGCAGAAAACTTGAGAGCTTAATCAACCCTCTGCTTCAAGAGAGGATTGCAAAGAGAAAAAGAAATCAATCCATAAATTGGATTATTAGCAGGTGACAATGAAGCTTTGCATTAAAAACAGCATGTTCCTTCTCACAACAACAAAAAGTGTATAAGATTTGCTATATGCCGATTACTATGGGATATGCTAATTAACCATGATTTGATCCTTACACAATGTATGCAGTACCAGAACATCAGCTGTACTCCATAAATATATACAATTATGTATCAATAAAAAATTAAATTAAAAAACAGCATGTTCCTTATAAATTGTACCATGGAGGGGGCCAACATGACAGCCTGCCAGTCCCAGATCATCCAAGCAAGAGCGGGGCGGGGCGGTGGGGGGGTGAGGGGAGATACACTCAAAGGACAGAAAAGAGCCTTCCACAGATTTCATATATGAAGGGCTTTTGCCCACTTTTCTTTCTCTACAGGGGTAAACTAGGGATACTGCCTTTCTGCGTTTAAACCTCACGGCAACCTTGTATAGGAGACATAGGGCAGTCCTTGTTTTAAGGATAACAAAATGAAGACTCAAAGACTTTAAGTCTAAGTTACTCCTACTTTGGGCCATGATGCTTGAGTCTGTGCTTGTTCAGCTCAGCAGGCTGAAGCTTAAAGGCAAGTTCAATCTAGCATCCCTGTCACCTGACATTCAAGGTCCTCCATCACATGCCAGCACTACCTGGGTCCCAGGCTCTGCTGCAGCCTTCATCTCCCAGCTGAGGACAGCTGACATGAAGTCCCACATGAACACTCCACCCACAGAAATTTCTAGAACCCATTCTGACCTTCAACAGGAAGGGCTTAAGAAGTGCTAGCCCAATACTGTGGGGCTCAGTCACACAACGCACAGGAAGTAAGTCTGGTCCCCATCTTGCACTCAAGTCTACACTGGAACTCCCTCCTGTTTCCTTCTTCAGGGGCCCCGTTTTGGTGATCTCAGTCCTGCTGGAGTTAGGGCCTGATTTGGTTTTGTCCGTTTTCCTTACCACCATCTACAGCTTGGTATCTGGACCCCAAATCTCATCTCAGCTCTAACTTGTCTAATGCCGTAACTCTCTGAGCCTCATTCCTGTGGGGTATCCCCTATCACCACAGATCACACCTGTGCCCCTTGGCCTTGCTGACCCTGACCTGGACCATCTTCACGAATAATCTGCTGACTGCACATCTTGGGGAGTCTACGTCTGTTGCATCTTCTCAGAGCTTCCTTCCTTTGGCCTCTCTTGTCATCATAGTAAGCCAGGCCTAGCATCTGACAAACCTAGTCCCAAGCTCTACATTCCATTTTGTTCTTCTTATGAACCGACAGCCCAAACAGGTGTTCAATCTCATTTCCTGGATGCCTGTTCTGCACAATCTGCCCCATAACTTTGAGGCACAATGAGAGCCTCTTCCTCATAAATTTTCCCTATAAGTACTTAGTGAAATTCTGCCCATCTTTCAGGCTCAGATTTAAGTTCTGCTTTCTACTCACCCCAACAACCCTCTGAGCTCCTCCTCTTTTCTGAACTGATGGAATTGAGTTTGTGAAGAAAATGTAACTTTTCGACTCATAATAACCACATGAGAGTTCACACCACATAGCACTTAGCCAGGCCTTGTTCCACACAGGTAACAGCAAGCCTGTGAACTTGGTGCACTGGGACTATCTCCATCTTATAGACAAGGAAAGTGAAGCACAGAGAGGACAAATTACTGGCCCAAGGTTTTATAGCTAGTAGGTTGCAGAGCCAGGATTTGAACCAATGCAGTCTGGCTTCAAAGAACATGTTTTTAGCCACTATGGCATACTGCCTAAACTTGTAAAACTTAATGCCCAGCCCTGTGCAGCCTCTGATTTCTCTGACATTGTCCTTTCAATCTCACACTGTATGCCTTGATTCCTATTGATCATAGTAAGGATTGCATCTTATCCAGTTGTGTCTATTTCTAGCAATTCTCACCATAATTCTATTTATGGAAAGAAGTGGGGGGGGGGAATCTTTTGATTTAGCTGGAAATTCCAAAACATTATCTTGAACAACCACGTTCTCTTCTACCCTTCTTTCTATTTTCATCCTGGCAAGCTCCACTCTCACACTCCCCAGTTGCATTCTGGGACCCATCCACCCACCAGACTCCACACCCCCCACCTCACACTGAAGCTAACGGAGAACTCCCCCAGCTGACCTATTTCAGGCTTGATCCTTTTACCTGTGAAGCAGTGATTAAAAATCTTCTTGTCCTTCTCTAGGTTCAGTTCTTTTACTCCCTTTTCAATGTCTTTCATGGACAAATACAAGGCACTGCAGAGATTTAGAAAAAAAAAACAAAAACAGTTGAATAGATGGGGAACATTTCAGAACAGTGAGTATGTCCCAGGAGCTATCACCTTAGGGTGGCTGCTCATGTACACAACTCCCAGCCCCAGGTATCTGCTGAGGACAATCTCTCCACCAGGTCCTAAGTAGTTAAAAGGCAGCATTCATATTTGCGTAACTGTGGCCTGAGTAACATTTAGCAAAATGGACTAGAAAAGCACTTAATGTCTCTTAAATTCATTCCGCTCTTTGTTGATTTAACTAAATGGAGCGTTGTCCCAAGTTAGGTGCCAAAGATCAAAGATTCTCAGAGTAATTTTTCCATACATTAGGGATCTTTAACAAGGTCTCTCAATCCTCATGTTCCAATTTTTTAAGGGCGTTCAAAACACCGTCTATTGTAGACATTTGCTTCAAAGAAAGTGAATGTTTCCACTAAGCTTATCTCTTATTTTTAAAATGGGAAGATATAAGATCACATAGTGAGAAGTTCTCACCTCTGCCCTTGAAGTAACAATACACCAAAGTGAGTCTTATCAGAGAAATTCTAAGTAACAAAACAGAAGGCCACTTTCACGGGTTCTGTGTCTTCACACTGTCCAAACATCATTCCCACTTAGTTCTGACAGTCCTGGCCAGGAGTGTGGTCCCTCAGCATCCCCAGGCAGCTGTTGAAACTAGACCAGATGCTTCCTCTTGGGTGTTACCCAGATAGCTTTCATGGAGATGGAGGCTGCTAGTCTAGTAAGCTCAGCGCACACACTTTCATCTCCTCTCAGAGTCTCTCCCCACCTTACACCCCATGAAAACAGAAATCTAGTTGGAGATTTTAAGCAGCCAGCATGGGATTCTTTTAGACAGGGCTTCTGATTCAAGGAATGTTCAATATAAAAGCAAAACTACCAGGGAAAAAAAGATTTCTGGGGAAAAGAGCTCACGTGACTGGAGAAGATGTGAAACATTCAGAAAGGAACCCCATTTCCAACCTCCGTCAAGGAATAGATCTACCTGCTGGCCTCTGATCACCTTTAGGCTACAGCCATCACCTGCAATTCCAAACCAGCCAGCATCAGAAGCCGTTAAACCCGATCAGGGTACAGATGGCTTCTATCCAGGATGGGTGTTCCACCTGGCTAGCCCTTCCTTACAGTATGAATGCATGAACTTGAACTTGAACCTTCCCTGCTGGGTTATATAGCCCATTCCTTTTCCTTCCCACCTACACATCCCAAGGCTTTTTTTCAAAATTAATCTAAAACAAGAAGCCTTGAAGCACGATCTGTTGTGTTTTTCTCTGTTGGAAAGAAGGAAGGAAGGAAGAAAGAAAGAAAGAAAGAAAACGAGGAAGGAAGGAGCAAAGAGAAGTAAACACAGAAAATCACCCTAAGTCAATGGTTTCTGGCAGTCGAATGGACCTCCTGGTGGATTTCCTCGAAAACTTCTGACCTCCTTCAATGCATTTAATGGCCTTCTTAATGTCCCGATTCCAGGCATCTCTCTCCTCCAGGAAGGCTGCCTGGAAGAAGTGGTCCTGCTGTTTGGTCGTGGTGATCTTAAACACAAACTAAAAAGCAAAACACATCCTGTTAGGAATGACTCCTTTCAAGGGGCCACAATCCCTCATGAAGCAGAGCAGTTGACACAAACCTCTTCTGATGAAGAGAGATCCAAAAGTGAAGGTGGCAGGTGTGGACCAGTGAAAGGGACCATAGGTTATGCGTGGACTGAGAGGTCAGTGTCTGACCAGGGGTTCGTTCTGACCAGTGATGCCAACTCACCATCCTTTTGCCAAAGTCCTGACAAGGGCAGGTCAGAGTGCTTCCTTTCAGGGGAATCATGCCTTTGGGGCTGTTGTCACTTTTTTTCTTATAGAATTCAATCCCATCTTCTAACAGTACAACCCACATGGGTTTCCAGGTGTTGAACACGCTCCCCTGCAACGACACCAGAAAGAGTGAGACGGGCAGGGATCTTTGTAAACTATAATATCTTCTTCCTAACAGGAGAGAGTCTACATGTTCTTAGAGTTGACTTTTAAAAAAGCTTTGTGACATCATCTCTGTTCCTTCGACATAAAACCTGTTAAATCAGTGGCTTCTTGAGGTAGCCGATTTCTATGCCCAGCACTTTGTGGATCTGACCCCACGCTCTTGCCCTTGCCCAACTCTACCCTCTCCCTTTGATCTCCTCCACTGGCCTCTCCCATCCTGCCAGGCTTAGCTTAGCCACCTCATTGATGAGGCTTCCTGAACTGAAACCACCCACCTTGCTCTGGGTCACCACCCGCTTTTCTCACTGATGGTGCTCATGCTCTGGAAGTTCGTTATACATCGCCTTTTATAGTTCTTTAATTGTCTTTAGTATGCTTACCTTTTCTTCTCCATGGCAATGACATTGCCAGGTACTTCCATTGGCTCATGGTACTGAGCGTACAGTGGATGTTCATTAAAATAATGCAGAAGATTATTTCCCAGAGAGCCCAAATGCCGGCAGTTATCATACTTCACTGAGGAGCAACTGGTCCTTCTTATCATTTACTTCTTCCCCACCCAGACTTTTTCCTGCTCTAATTTCCTCTGCACCCCTTTTCATGTGTGGTTCTCACCACTAAGAACCACAAAGGGACACCCTCATGTTCACGTTCTCACCACACTGCTTTGTGTAGGAACTATCAACAGGTCTTTCTCCTATGACTTCATCTTACCCATGATCCTCAAGTATAGTTCCTATTTTTTTGTTTTCATTAATTTTTAAATTTTTAACTGTCTCAAGAGAAAATAACAGGAAAAGTGGTAAACATTAGTATTTGGTTGGAAGGGTTTTTATTTTTGTTTTAGTAATTTTTAATTCTTAGGAGGGCTTGTCAGAATTGAAGCACCAGTTAAATATTCTAAAGTCAAACTGTAGGAGGCTCTTTTCAAAATATGGTCTATAAACCACCTAATTTGACTCACTGAAGATGGATTTAAATAAAAGCTGCTTCCACTCCAAATGTGCCTTTGGTTTTCATCCCCGGTAATGCTGCTGAAATCACCATCAGACTTTCTAGCTCAAGCTCTATTTGTTTCCCACCACTCAAAGTTGGGCAAGCCATTCACCTCTTGGAGTCTCAGGTTCCAGCACTAAAATGAAGGTCAGAATGACAGCCTTGGCACTTTTAGCACATGTTAAGTGAAATAATATGGACGGGACTTTGTAAGTCCCAATGCGCTCTACAAATGGGAGGTTGTATTATTAACTGTCTTGAGAGATGGCTACGTATGAATGCCTTCAATACTTGGTGTTTCCAGAACAGTGAACAGCTTTTTCATGTCCTCTCTATTCCTGAAAATGAGAGTGAACTGGTATCACCATCATCGCATTAATGAGGAGGCAGCTCTGGAGTACTAAGCCAGTTGCCACCTTGAGTGATGAATGGGAAAGCTGAAGGCTCTGCACAAATGTGTTTGAGAGGAAACAAATCACCTTCTCAGTTTCTTTTTGAGCAGAATGAAGTTCATGGGTCATGAGAAATCTGGCCTGCCCCAGATGTTTAGGCCTCTTTGGCCATCATATGACATGTCATACAATGATGCTTGAAGTGTTTAAGGTATGCTACACCTTGGGGTCAAACCTTGAACCTGCATTTGAGCTTCAAGTCAATCCCTTATTAGTTATACACATTCTTGGAGAAAATGTTAATATTTCTGAGCTGCAGGATTTTTTTCTAAGGAGACAATAATTCAATCTTATAGCAAGTCTTATAGCAATTAATAACAAGTATTAATTAGATTTAGATAATGTATAAAATATGTACAAATGTATAATGATTGTATATATTTATATGTATACTATATATATGCATAATACAGTGTATATATTTTATAGATGTTTATTTACATTTTATAGACAAGGTACATTAAAAAACTCTGTCAAATTGCTACCAAATTATAAATTCCAGAAGGGCAGGAACCTGCCTCACCATATTACCAGGTGTTCAATAAATAATCTGTGCAATGAATGATTGTAATTAAAATTACACAATGTGTTAATGAACAGATAAGACTAAAGAGATACAGAAATTATTAACATAAGAATAGAAACAATATTATATAGCAAGGTTTTCTAAGCATTGCACTCTATAGACATATTCACATTTGTATGACCAGGCTGAGTAAGAAAACAGCCTTAGGGGAGACAGGGACTGTCATTGTGCTGGAATTTTTTAAAAGTTAAGATATCTATAATCCAGCCATGGGCCATGACAAGGGATCGCTCCACTGTCCTTCTGGTGCACTTCAGGTTTACTTTCTATGGCTTATTCTCTGCTTCCAAGCCTTATGTTCAGTTCAGTTCAGTTCAGGAATGCAAATGGATTCCATCTCAATGCCAACTCAGACTGAGCACTAGTAGATGCCTAAGCCTGGCCTCACTGGGAAAGTATCATGATCCAACAGCCGAGAAGGCAAGAAGGCCATACATGAGCGTACAGGCTGCAGTTGCTTCCATCCCTTGGGCCTATCAGATTTTATCTGAATATGAATATCCAGAAGAAATTTAAGCAGCAGCCTTGTGTGCAGGCATGGCTCAGTTGTGTAAAAATCCTTGCAAAATGATTTACAAGGCCAGAGCAAGGTTTCCACATCAATGTGGCCTTTAGGAAAACCCTTAATTAAAATATTTTCAGTTTAGGTTAAAATTAACTGCCCATTTAGCAATAAAGTAACCATTCTGACTAGAGCAGGGAATTCTGGTCTACATTTCGGGAGGGCTTTGGAAAGGTCTATTCTTTGACCTATGGCGTCCGCCTGTCATAACACCACAAAATAGAATTATCATCCAATTCCCAGCAGATCCTGCTGCTTATCTCAGAATACAAAGGCCTCTATATAAAGGTCCAGTTGCCCAAGAGGAAGACTATGTATGCAAAGATAAATAGCTGTGGACTATCACTTCGCTCATTCCTTGGTTTTAGTTTCTAAAATAATTTTTTAAATTAAAACATCCTATCTCTTTTCCCACAGGCAGAATAACTTTTCCAGACTAACACTACCTTCTTTCCTTTTAAAAAAAAATAAGCAAGTTCAGATGCTGTGCCAATGTGTGAAATAACTTTAATCAAACGCTTTTCTTTTATATCTGAGAGAAACTCACATTCAAAATACAAAGGGCTCCTACAAATCAATAAGAAAAGTACAAATAATCAAATTTTTTTAATAATCACATTTTTAAATGAGCAAGAAGTGTTTAACAGGTATTTAACTAAAAAAGATAACCAAAATCTTATGGAAAAGTATTCAACATTATTTAACAGAGAAATAAATAAACATCATTTACCAGAATCAAACCACAATGAGATACTTCTATACACCAGTAGAGTACCTAACATTTTAAGAGATGAAGAGTAAAGACTGGCAAGGAGCTAGAATAACTGGCAGTCCCATACATGGCTAGCAGGAGGACAAATATCGTATCCCATCTGGAAAAGTGGTTAGCAGTTTATTCTAGAACTAGACACATATAAGCCTTTTACAACAGAAATTCCACTTCTGGGCACAGATATGAGGGGAGTGGGCATATATTTTCATAAAGGTCACATACAGGAATGTTCATAGCACCTGTATTCATAGTACCAAAAACAGAGAATAACTCAAATGTCCATCAATAGGAGAATGGATCAGTAAATTTTATGGTATAACATATAAGTTCATTATTAGTATAGTAAACTTCTACAATGAAATACAACTTAGTTTGTTTTGTTTGTTTTTTGAGATAGGGTGCAAGTCAGCTGGGCTCAAATGCAGTGGCATCAGGCTACTAAGTAGCTGGGACTATAGATGTGTGCCACCATGCCCACCAGATTTTTCTATTTTTTATAGAGACAGGGGTTTGCTATTTTGTTCAGGTTAGTCTTGAACTCCTGGCCTCAAGTGATTCTTCTTCCTCAGCCTCCCAAAGTGCTAGCATTTTAGGTGGGAGCCACTACACCTAGCCACAATTTAATAAATAAAAAAAAATGATGCAGTCCAGGCTCAGTGGCTGGGAAGGAAGATAATCATCAGCCTTCATGATCCTTCTATAGAAAGAAACTACACCATCTTACTTATGTCTCTCATTAATCACTGGAAAAAACAACACGTTCATACAAGACAGGATCCTTGATTGAGCTGTGGATTTTTTTTTTTTT